CCCTCTCCCTCCCGGAATCCCGGTGGACCGCTCCACCCTCCCAGCGCGCTAGCCCTATGGGACCCTGTGGAGCCCTCCCGACGCCGATCCGACGGGGACCCCTCCAGCCCTGTGGGCTGGCGAGCCCTCCGGTCGGAGGGGTGGAAGCGGGAGGGCTCGAGGACGGACCTCTCTCGCTCCGGGAGGGTGGAGGGGTGGAGGGTGGAGGGGTGGAGGGGTGGTTGAGCCCTCTAGCTCTATCGATATAGCCCTACCCCTCCCGCCGTTTTAGGGCTTGCTGACCCGCTATGCGGTTGTCACTGGTTCGAAACCCACCTTAGCAATCACCTGCTATCCGCCGGTGCCCAAACGGATGCATCTCCGCACGACCCAGGAATGCAGTTTTGCGACGGTGTATCAGTCGCACCTTTGCTTTTGCCACCGTTCTCCGTTGCGCAGGACCTCTGCGCGGGGGGGCGTTGGGCGTATCCGGGTGTTTTTCAGTCGCCTTAAATGCCACCGTTGCAATATCCCGCGTGTCGGATTGCGGATATGCAATTGTGGCACATAAGGCGACTGATACACCGTCGCACAACACAGGATATTTCGGAGTTTACCGGGTTGGCATTTGCCGGATTTTCCGAGGTATCCTTTCGGGTATTACCTGCACTGGACGCTAGAAGAGATCGTCGTACGACTCCGCCTGGCAGCCGCTGCCTCAAGGCATCGCCACAGTCGACAGCGGCTTGCCCGCCTTGCGCGAGCGGCTCTCGACTGCCACGAGCGCCGCCTCGAGCTCGGAGAGGAGCCGCTTCTTCTCCGCGCGTAGCTGCAGCGCTAGCGCGCGCCGCGGCGGGCAAGCGGTGGAACGCGCCTCGGCGAGGTCCGCCTTGCGCGCGCCCCCCATCGCCGCGCGCGCCGCCTTGCAGTACGAGCGGAGCGCCGCCCAGCAGCGCGCCTCCGTCTCGAGCGAGACGGCGCCGCGCAGCCGGGCGAGGTCGCCGGACACCTGCGGGCAAGTTCGGGGCACGCTCCGCAGGAAACTCCACGCGCGCAGCCGGGGCGAGCGGCGCTGGGCCGCGTCCTCCACCGAGCCCAGA